CCCTTTTCCTAATGTATATTTCTCTTTAGCACGCATCACTTAAAATACAGTATTGTCTACGTTCATTGAGCCTTAGGTCCATGACAGGAGGATTTGTTGGTCTGTTTCTTTTTTACCCACATGGAGAAAAAGTACATAGTACCTGGTATAATAGACACTGAAAAAAGTGTTGAATGAAACCAATAAGGATCTCATGGAAGTTAAATTCAAGTGGGGAAGAGACGTTAATTAAGTAATTGCATTCACATGTAAATATATAATTAAAACAGTGATGTTTAATATGAAAGAAAAGTACACATCTCATAACAAGAGACCTAACTGGCCGAGGGACCGGTGAGAGCACTCCTGGTTGGGAGGTGGTGATAGCTCTCCTCTCAGTCAAGATCCTTTTTAGATTATGGAAGGAAGGGAGTATATGCTGTTTCCTCTCTACATTTCATGCCCAACTCAGAAACTTTCTAATCACATCCTTTGTTAAACCATAGAACTCTACCCTTCCCTATTTGTCCTGCACCTGTCCTCACCCATCAATACCAGAACTTTAAGGGGAATTTCTGAAGTGAGCATTAATTCAAATAACAGCTAATGCTTTGAATTCTTATTATGGTTAGGTTTGTGCCAAGGCTTTAAATACAAGCTAGACAAATTTAGGAAAACTGGTGGTGGGGGAATTCTCTTGTAAGCTCCTGAGTTGTGATCAAGGTCACTGATTCTCTGGATTACGAATTCTTTGCTCCAGTGTGGGTCCCCAGAGGGGGATGGCATGATGCTAGTTCACTCTAAAGGGCTCTCTGGGAGAGGGTGGATTGAATGTGGGGCAAGCCTCACTTCCCTTTACAATGACTTTCCTCCAGTACAACCACACTAAATTAATTGTAAAGGTGCAGCAGGTTTCAATATTTATTCCTTTATTTGGCTGCATGGGGTCTTAGTTGCAGCACGCGGGATCATTCATTGCAGCACGCGGGCTCAGTAGTTGCAGCATGCGGGCCCTCTAGCTGGGGCGCATGGGCTTAGTTGCCCCGCGGCACGTGGGATCTTAGTTCCCCGACTAGGGATCGAACCCTCGTCCCCTGCTTTGGAAGGTGGATTCTTAACCACTGGACCACCAGGGGAGTCCCAAGGTACAGCAGGTTTTACCGAAGTTTGGAGAGCCAAAGGGAATGATACATGTGAGAGAAAGAGAAGTCACATACATTAATTCATTGTCATATACATCAATACATTAATTATAGCTTTTTATAGTTTGAATATTTGCAAGGAATTAAACTCTACACAGGAGCTCTGCTCATGACCAAACCCCACTCCTAGCCTTGCTCCCCTGTCTTCACGTCCACTCCTCTGTTATAAAACCCTACGCTGTGTTGTCATGGGTTATTCTCACCCAAGGATCTAAGCTTCCTCTCTATACATTCTTTTCTCCAAGTTTAATTATCTGTGGAATAATTCCTCAGGGCACCAGAAAGACAGGAGATGGTCACCTTTGGCATGAACAGATGAGTGAGGAACATAGGGACGGAGAGTTTTCAAAATTCTTCTGAAGGGAATTCCCTGGCCGTCCAGTGGTTAGGACTTTCACTGCCAGAACTTTCACTGCCGAGGGTCCGGGTTTAATCCTTGGTAGGGGGAACTGAGATCCCACAAGCCCTGCAGCACAGCCAAAAAAAACAAAACTAAAGTTCCTCAGCAGAAGACAAGGTGGGATCATACAAGGGCATGTAAAAATGTGATCCTTTGTTTCCTCAGGTATGAGTTGCATTTTTACCCTATTATCAACCGATTGTCCAGAGAATAACACAAACACACACACACACACACACACACACACACACACACACACCCTTCCAAATAATAAATATTAATTCTCAGAGATGGTAACATCTCTAAATCCAAAAACTAGAAAAAAATTTCCTAGCTGCCCCAGTGGGAAGACCCCTCACTGATACCGCAGGTGGTAACTTCACATGATTCAGGCAAAACTGTATTAGCTCCTTTTGTATATTCTCTCTTTTCAAATGATGACCTTTTGTTCCAGCCAGAAATAGGAAAATAGGCCCATTGATGATACACATGCTTCTCTTTTGTTTAGTTTTGGCTTGGTTTGGTTTCTTGGATTTTAACCTTTCCCCCCCTCTTGGCTGCACTGTGCGTGGCATGTGGGATCTTAGTTCCTCAACTAGGGATCCAACCCATGCCCCCTGCAGTGGAAGTGCAGAGTCTTTAACTACTGGGCTGCCAGGGAAGTCCAACCATTTTTAAATGCACAATTCAGTGGTATTAATTGCATTCATAACGTGCAACCATCACCACTATCTGTTTCCAAAACTTTTCATGACCCCAAAAAGAAAACCCATAATCATTAAGCCAAAACTCACCATTCCCTCTGCCTTCCAACCCCTGGTCATCTCTATGAATTTGCCTATTCTAAACACTCATAAGTGGAAACATGCAATCTTTGTCCTTTTGTGTCTGCCTTATTTCATTCTGCATAATATTTTCAAGATTGATCCATGTTATAGCATGCAGCAGACCTTCATTCCTTTTTATGGTCAGCCTTACTTCAAAACCCATGCAATGCTGTCATGCTGGTAAAATCAACCCTGCAGATATTATCCGTTGACGATATCAGTTTAGAAAACTTCATCAGAGCTGCACAGAGGGGCTTTTCCCCCATATTACTGTGTCTTTAAAATTGGGTTTGGCTGCATATGTCAGGCAAACTCAATAGATTGCTTATGCAATCTATTGCTTATTGCTTATGCAATCTAAAAATGATACAATTTCTCTCCCACATAGAAAATGTAGGCTGTTGGCCTAGTGAGTAATTAAATCTAAATCTAATTGAAGCATGGACTTTGGAGCTCTTTGTTTTGTCAAGAGTCTCCGTTGGCCACTTTTAGCCAGAATGTTTTCCCATCTCTCAGTTCAATGATGGAACGTGAGTCTTAGCCAGGCAGCAAAGAGAAATAAAACACTACATATTGGGAAACATACAAGACCAGGCAGTATGGGAGAGAATAGAGAAAGGTGGCCATCAAGTCAGTTCCTCCAAATTAGTTTCCAAAGCAGAATTATCTGTAGATATTTATTCTATTTTATAAATTAGATTTGATAGGGTTGGCAGAATCTAATAAACACAAAATAGTCAATGTACATTTTTGTATCCTATCTCCTGTTTTGAAAATCTTACTTTTCAGTGCATAGGCTACATAAAGAAAATTCTCTCCAACATACACAAATGTTTTAGATATCCAGTACTTGAAAATGAAGGTGCTAGGGAGGAAAAAATATCTACTGTGTTTGTTTTGATGTTCTGTCCCTTCGGGGGCAACTCAAAAAGTGCTTCTATAAGTAATTTATAAAAAGCAGGGCTTCCCTGGTGGCGCAGTGGTTGGGAGTCCTCCCGCCGATGCAGGGGACGCGGGTTCGTGCCCCGGTCCGGGAAGATCCCACATGTCGCGGAGCGGCTGGGCCCGTGAGCCATGACCGCTGGGCCTGCGCGTCCGGAGCCTGTGCTCCGCAACGGGAGAGGCCGCAAAAGTGAGAGGCCCGCGTACCAAAAAAAAAAAAAAAGCATCTTTGAAAACTGAAATTCATTCAATATTTATTGAAGGACTATTATGAGAAAGCTGAGCTTTGAAGGGGAACAGTTATGCACATTATAGTTAAAGGAATTTATAATTTTGTTTAAACTTTAAAATAGACCATACTGGAACTTCCCTGGTGGTCCGGTGGTTAAGAATCTGCCTTCCAATGCAGAGGACACGGGTTCGATCCTTGGTTGGGGAACTAAGATCCCACATGCCATGTGGCAACTAAGCCTGCGCGCTCTAGAGCCCACGTGCTGAAACTACTGAGCCCATGTGTCGCAACGAAAGATCCTGCATGCTGCAACTGAGACCCGATGCAGCCAAATAAATAAATAAATAAATAAAAATAAAATAGACAATACTTAAAATGACAATATAAAAATATTAAATGTCAATAAAAGACTAAAATAAAAATGACAGAATCATAGCATCTCAAAGTTGAAGGGACCTTAGCGTTCATCTAGCCCTGTGCTTCTCAAAATGGGATACACATATCTTTACACCTAAATTCGAGTACATGGCAATATATCAGGGAGTAGGTCAAAACTACAAGATAAACAGGTCATGTTATCCTAGAGCATAAAAGTTTTCCAAAGATATGGGGAAAATGGTGTTTGTATTTAAAATTATTTAGAGTAGAATATAATATGCATGTTAGTTTTCCTTACACTTATGCTTTTCCCCATTACCCTCTATCACCCCCATTTAAAAAGTAAAATTCCTCATGACATGGAAGGTTTCAACAATTTTTATTCTCCCCATATGGAGAGTAAGCCCACATCTGGCAGACGCACAGGTAAATAGAGGATCATGTAAAAGAGAAAACATAGATTCCAGGGAAATTTCAGCCCATCATGGGGGGCAGTTTGAGATTATAGCCTCAGATACTCAGCATTTCTTATTTTTACTCTTCTTTATAGGACAGTTTAATGGGAAAAACAAATAGAGAACCAATGATTCCACAATTCTTTGTAGAGAATTTTCACTAAAGCATCCCAAACAGTGGTCTCCTACCCTCTTGTTTAATCCCATTAACGGGACACCATTGCCCACTCGGTGCCATGAGCTCAGAGGAAGGAGAGACTCCATAATCTAAAGCTTCATAATAGACCTAGTTTTTTTTTTTTCTTTTATAAATTTATTTATTTATTTATTTTTGTCTGAGTTGGGTCTCTGTTGCTGTGTATGGGCTTTCTTTAGTTGCAGCGAGCGGGGGCTACTCTTCGTTGCGCTGCACGGGCTTCTCATTGCAGTGGCTTCTCTTGTTGCAGAGCACAAGCTCTAGGTTTGCAGGCTTCAGTAGTTGTGGCACGTGGGCTTCAGTAGTTGTGGCCCACGGGCTTAGTTGCTCCACAGCATGTAGGATCTTCCTGGACCAGGGCTCGAACCCGTGTCCCCTGCATTCGCAGGCGGATTCTTAACCACTGCACCACCAGGGAAGTCCTAGACCTAGTTCTTGATTGAGACTCTGATGAATGTATAAAATTTTAATAAATAAAGAGTACAGAGCAGAGAGTTTCTGGAGAACAGTCTTGAAGATAGACTTGGGCCCTACAACTGGACCTTTCACCTGTGAAACACAGGACGTTGGGAAAGAATTCTTCGCAAAGTCATTCCAAGAATCTACTTAGCTTTACTGTGTGAGTGAGAAAGCAAGGTATCTGGAATACATGAATATGCTTGATAAAATTTCTCATCCTCTCTCCAAGGGGCAGAAAACATAAACAAAGGCAGGACTGTAGGAATGGGCTTCCTATGTTTTAGTAACAAGTAGCTTATTCTGGTTTGAGTGATGGCTCATAACAAAAAATAATGACAGATAAAAATGAGATGACATTCACAGTTCATATAAGCTGCTTAAGGAATGCTTTCTAACAAAATGGAGACTTAAATAACTTGCATAATGGCTGTAAAAAAATTATTAAAGAGGCATGATTCATCCAGCATAAGGAAATAACTTTATTTCTCAGAAATCTATTGTTCCTGCTCACCTTTCTTCTGTTAAAGGAAAGAAAAATACATCTCTTATGATGACAATAGCATTTTTCATTCCTGGAGATTTGGAGTTAGTGAGATTAAAAGAAACAATTTTGTGGGGTTTCCTTCAGCTATTTTGAAAGTTATTTTCCTTACTAACTACCCTCTCCCCTCACCAACTTCTCTTGAAAAGTTAAAAACCACAGAAACAACATGACTTGGAAATTGTGCCTCTGGTGGCTGAGTTAAGTCTTGGACATCTGGACTTCACCATGGGTAACCTTCATGAGAAGAACAAAACAAGGTGGTGGGGTTTCGTTATGGCCAGTGTGTGAGGCCAGAAGGCCCCCTGGGAATTCTTCAGGGTATCCATTCCTGTGTCTGAGAGATGAGATGCTCAGACAATGACTCCCCAGACCACTATTTCTGGACACCAGGTAGATTGTTCAATATGATACTTTGTTGTTTTTGAAAAGAGCCCAAAAAGGTTTCCACGTGGGTTAAAGTGTGGTTTTTGGAGTGCTTCAACTTCTGCATTTCCCAATTTTTGTTTTTCTCACTTTACTGCCAGGCATATTACTGAATTTCTCTGGGGGTATGAAGAAGTTGAGGGACATATACAGGAATTACTCATTCGGCTTCTGCTGTGCAGCTGCCCAGGACTTATCGAGGTTGAGAGAACAAATAAATATTCATCAAAAGCCTGGGGTTGGTCAAAGGCCTAAAAGAGTTATTTTTGATGGGAACATTAACCAAAGCTTCATTGATCACACACATACAAGAAAGAATAAAAAGTTAGGTTTCTATAATCAAACATATGAAAACTTGAATTCTGTCTCCACCATTTCCTAGTGAATTGTCTTTGGGTGTTGCCTGATGCCATATGTTTTTTAGTTTCCCCATGTATAAAATGTGAATAAATAATAGTAATAATAGCTAACCTTTTTTGTGCACTTAATTTATGCCAGGTTCTGTGCTAAGCATGTTGCATATATTATCTCACTTAAGTCCAAGAGGTAGGAACTATTATCTCAATTTTCAGATGTGAACACTGAGGCCCAAAGAGTTGAAATCATTATCTTATGATTGCTAAAAATAATTTAAAATCAGTGGCTCTGCATGTGGCCTAGTGCAGGGAAGGTATGCCATAAGATCAACTACTTTTATAAAACTGTGTCTTCTAGGGACTTCCCTGGTGGTGCAGTAGTTAAGAGTCCACCTGCCAATGCAGGGGACACGGGTTTGAGCCCTGGTCCGGGAAGATCCCACGTACTGCAGAGCAGCTAGACCCATGCGCCACAACTACTGAGCCTGTGCTCTAGAGCCCACGAGCCACAACTGCTGAGCCCGTGTGCCACAACTACTGAAGCCTGTGTGCCTAGAGCCTGGGCTCTGCAACGCGAAGCCACCGCAATGAGAAGCCCGCACACTGCAACGAAGAGTAGACCCCGCTCACCCCAACTAGAGAAAGCCTGCACACAGCAACAAAGACCCAACACAGCCAAATAAATAAATAAATAAAATAAAATTTAAAAAATAGTAGTATCTTCTAATATCTGATAATATTAAGGAGGCCAGATACTTGAAAAAATAAATTATTGTCATCAAAGTTAACTCCTCCCATGGTTCAAAATTTTCTGATTAGCAATAAAATATGAGTGCATAATTTTGAGGTTCTCATACTTTGAGGTTTGAGCAAGTGTATAAAATTGCATGTTCCAGTGTTTAATCCCTGCAGATTTTTTTTGACTCAGTGATTCTGGAGTGCAACCCAGGACTCTGCCTTTTCAACAAACACCCATTAATTCCAAGCAGGTAGTTAGTTTACATTGGCCTAGTAGACCTCTGAAGTCTTCCCCAGTGGTAAAATTCTATGATTATGTGACTTTATATACTTTTGAAAAAGTGTGTGTGTGTGTGTGTGTGCGCGCGCGTGTGTGAGATGTGTTTGTTTGCTTACTTAGTAAACAATTGAAATGCCAGGGAAAATGAGAAGTACTCCAAATAACATGCAGGTCTTTCTCTTTGTGGGTATGTGTATTCCCAAGACCAAATTCCATAGTATTTGTTTACTCAGTGATGTAGTATAAGCAGTGATGTGATTTCATTGGTAGAGATAATCTTTTGTTTAAAAAATAATTAATTAATTTATTTATTTTGGGCTGCGTGAGTTCTTCGTTGCTGTGCGTGGGCTTTCTCTAGTTGTGGTGAGCAGGGGCTGCTCTTCGTTGCGGTGAGAGGGCTTCTCCTTGCGGTGGCTTCTCTTGTTGCAGAGCCCGGGCTCTAGGCACGCGGGCTTCAGTATTTGTGGCACATGGGCTCAGTAGCTGTGGCTCGCGGGGCTCAGTAGCTGTGGCTCGCGGGCTCTAGAGCTCAGGATCAGTAGTTGTGGCATACGGCCTTAGTTGCTCTGCAACATGTGGGATCTTCCCGGATCAGGGATTGAGCCTGTGTCCCCTGCATTAGCAGGGGGATTCTTAACCACTGCACCACCTGGGAAGTTCTGGTAGAGATAATCTTGATAAAAACAGCTCTAAAATGAATAAGGGACAGGTTCTGAAGTAAGGATAACAGATTAAATGTTACCTGCAGAACTGCTATTCTCTACTCTGTCTAGTGACCAACACTCATTGGTATCAGATTATCCCCTCTAGGAAGCCCTGGCACCATATTGGCAAATTCTTCCTCCTTGGATCTCACCTTTTTTGAAGATCTGTGTTAATCACTGCCTTCTGCAATAATCATTCCATCACTACTCAGTATATCACATAACCTTTTCTTTTTTAAAAAAAATTATTTATTTAATTTATTTATTTTTGGCTGCATTAGGTCTTAGTTGCGGCACGGGGGATCCTTCGTTGCGGTGTACAGTCTCCTCTCTAGTTGTGGTGGGTGAGCTCCAGAGCTTAGTAGCTGTGGTGCACAGGCTCTCTAGTTGTGGCGTGGGCTCCAGAGTGCACGGGCTCTGTAGTGTGGCATGCGGGCTTAGTTGCCCCGTGGCATGTGGGATCTTAGTTCCCTGACCAGGGATCAAACCCGCATCCCCTGCATTGGAAGGTGGATCCTTTACCACTGGGCCACCAGGGAAGTTCCTACATCACCTGTTGATTTAACTAAATTCAGTATCTTTGAGATTTGAGAAACAGCTACTTGATATCAAAGAGTCCCAAATTCCTTAGTGTGTGAACCTGGTTTCCTCCCTGCAACAAGACCCCCATGTTTTTCACCACCCCCAACCCATCCACACATTGGCTAAATGCACCACCAAGATCTCTTCAGTTTGTTACCAGAGGACAGGAAGAGTCAATTTCCTCAGCGCAATTAGAAACTCAGTACACTCAGCACCTTGGTTACTTTATTCAGCTTGGCCCTGCCTCTCACATGTCCTGGTTACTTTAGACCTCCATCCACAGGTTCCTTAAAGGAGGTATGGCTACAACATAAAAAGTAAAGTAGAAGTTCTTCCTATTAGTAACTTATGTCCTGTACAGATAACCTTAAATCCTGATTATGGCAGACACAAAAGGCCACCCAGTGTATGATTCCACTTATACGAAATACCCAGAGTAGATAGATCCAGAGAGGCAGAAAGCAGACTGATGGTTATCCAGGCGCTTGAGGGAGCAGGGAATAGTTGTGACTGCTTAATGGATATGGGATTTTCTTTTCAGGGTGATGAAAAAAGTTTTCAAAGTAGATAGAGGGGGTAGTTGAACAACAATATATGCGTTAAATATCACTGAATTTTATACTTTAAATGGTGTTTTTTTTTTTTATTTTGCGGTACGCGGGCCTCTCACTGCTGCGGCCTCTCCCGCCGCGGAGCACAGGCTCCGGACGCGCAGGCTCAGCGGCCATGGCTCACGGGCCCAGCCGCTCCACTGCATGTGGGATCTTCCCGGACCGGGGCTCGAACCCGTGTCCCCTGCATCGGCAGGCAGACTCCCAACTACTGCGCCACCAGGGAAGCCCTAAATGGTTATTTTTATGTCATGTGAATTTCACCTAAATACAAAATTTTAAGAGTCCTGATTAATTCAGAGACTTCAAGGGGCTGAACACCCGGAGAGAGGGTGAGAGTGATGGTATTCTCTCAGCTGTTAGTATGTGAAAGCAGAGGAGAAAGTCCGTAATAAGAGAGGCAAAGGTGCTATATACCCTGGAACAGAGGAGAAGAAAGAATAGAAACGGGAATGGGAAGAAAGAACCCAGACAGAAATGGGAAATTCAGTTGCTTACATGGTGCTTACAGGGAACTGAAGGCTATGGGTGGGACTGTACAAACTTAAGCATCTCTCTGTCCCTGAACAAGAGGAAACACAGTATAAGTTAAAGCATTGCGTTATCTCTGATCAAAAATAAAAGCTGAAAAGAAAACATGTGCCATTGTAAGAGGTGAAAGTAGAAACAAGTTGAGTAATAAAGACGCTGCTCTAATCTCACTGATGGAAGAGACCACGTCTTACTCATCTTTGTATCCCCAGCACTGTGCCAGGCTCAAAAGCTGTTGACCTAAAGATAATGACTCACACTGACATGGGGGCCTATGTGCCAAGTGCTATTCTTTCTTTTTTTAAAAAAAAATTATTTATTTGGCTGCATCGGATCTTAGTTGTGGAACATGAGCTCTTCATTGCGGCATCTTTCATTGCAGCGGGCTCGGGCTCAGTAGTTACGTCTTGCGAGCTCTAGAGTGTGCGGGCTTAGTGGCCCCGCAGCATGTGGGATCTTAGTTCCCCGATCAGGGATCGAACCTGCGTCCCCTGCATTGGAAGGCGGATTCTTAACCACTGGACCAGCATGGAAGTCCCCCAAGTGCTATTCTAAACATCTAATTCATTTGATCTTAAAATAGGTTCAAAGACATTGTGCTCTCCTTTTACAGATGAGGAAACTGAGGCACAGAAGGGTTAAGCTCACAATGATGGAGTCAGGATTGGCACCCATGTGGCCTAGCACAGTGTTTGTGCTCTGAAACACTTTCTCAATTTCCTGAAGAAATCAAAGAAACCATGATGAAAAGGTTGACTAAACTAATTCTCCATCCTTCTGAGAAGAGGAAAAACATGACCATATTTGGCATTTTGCACGTTCTCCCACGTTCTTCTAACCAGATCCATGGCTCACGACTAGTGGCTGTCTCCACAAAATTCCAGAGAAGCACAGTGGCTGGGTAGTGTGTGTGGTGTATGAAAGCAAAACGGTCGCCTGCAGTCTAGATTCCCTTACAAACCTTTAGCAAGCTAGTAGACTACCTCTGATTTCTAAACAAGATGTTACTGAGTTTTCCTTTTGCAACTGAATGAGCATTAACCTAAGTTTTAGAACTTAGTTCAGGCATGGTTCTGCCACACTAAATTTTATCCAGCCAGTGGGGCTCTTCATTTCTCTAAACCTTGTTCCCTGTCTGAAAAATAGGAACAATGATCCCTCTGCT